CAGTGATGGACCTGAACCGCAGCTCAATGAGCTCTTTGGAACTATTAGAGAACTACTGCATCAGCTGTTCTCACTTTTTAGTGCCTTAGAACGCTCTAGAACCTTGTAGAACTCACCAGGAGCATTTGGAATGGTGTAGAAGTTGCATTTTCTCACAAGGATTTGATCATTTCCAGGGTATGAATTGCATAGAAATCACCAATTTTGCATTACAAACAATCACTAACATCTCTAACACAACGTCTTACCATCTTTTGTCTCTTGTTTATTCCATTTTCCAATCAAAACAAACCCGTTGGTCGAAGAAACAAACACTGTAAATCAAAATTTGGCGTGGGTATGAATCACTTTTTGCTCAACTGCACAAAGACAAATGAATGAGCGCTACACCAGTCGGGTAGTGATGGTAAAATTATTCACCCGTCCTGTGAGATGTTAGTTACGTACTGTACAAACCATATTAATAGATTAGTGGTGCTTCGGTAATGGAATGCAATAACACAGCCAGCATCCGAACAAGCCATTTAGAGCTCTCACTCTCGCGGGGAGCAGATAGTGATGCGCGCCATCTAATTCTGAATCAGTTCAGTGCAGCAGTAAAGCCGGCGTTTTGGCTCCGGCTCAGCGACCGTCGGGGGACGAGACGATGGCGGCAATATCGCCAGCCAATCAGCGTAATGCCCCGTAAATGGCTTTATTGATAAAGCCCCTCAAACGGCGTGTTTCATTAGACAAGTGGAATCCCAACAACTGGTGCAAAAAGACATTTAAAAAGACATTTTAAAGACATACAATGGTTCTTCCAATTTATATGTTAATACCCCCCCTTAATTACAGTTAGGAGCCAGGAAATCAATCCATTCGGTGAAGTTGGCATTATAAACACGTGCACACAGAGATGCGTGTGTGATGGTAAAGGCCCGTTTCAATCAGGATCCGCACACATGGAGTCGGGATTCATATTGTCTCTCTGGTCGAGGATTAGGATGGTGGGAGGGCAGGACTAATGACAGAGGAAGAGGAGGGAGGCATGGACGAGGAGCGGAATGAGGCTGCATGAAGTGAAATATTAGCCCAGACCGAAGAGGCTTAAACAAGCCAATCGATGCTCTCCAATGGAAATAAATGAGAGTGGGGATGGAGGGAATACATGAAGGCTAAAGCGAGGAGAGAAATGGCTCGAGCTCAGAAAGCACAAGATCATAGGCGTCCGAGGTGTGACAGGATGGAGCGCCGGATCATTGAAGCATCGGAGAGGAAAAGAGGGAACCTGGAAAAGTGGCTGTGAGGATAATGAATAGCGCTGGTCATCATTTAGACGCTGCGCAGCTTCACTGCCTTTTTGCTATCATAATGTAAGATGGTAATAGGACAAACATGCTGGCACTAAAACTGACAAATAGTACAATCGCTGTAGGAGTATTTGGTCATTTTACAAGTGGTACTCAGTGAGAGTGTATTTAAACAGTGCAACAGCATTAAAATAGGAAATGTTTGTTGATATTTAACATACAGAAGTGACTACGCCCCTGTTTAACATCACCTACATGTCAAATGATTTAAAACTGTACCACCTCGTATAGTCGTACTATTCTTTAGACAGACAATACTGAACATAGAGGAACCAAAGAAGAAACCTGACAACTGATTTCCAGTCAGTCTAACTGCACAAACATGGTTCTAAAATGAGTTATGAAAAACAGAGCTGTAGATATCTTCATGTCTACATCATAACCCCACATGGAAAAGAACAGAACAGAGGAAGTGAAAAATCTGACTGTGAGACTTCACACAGATGGAAAAAGACACAGGAAGATCAGCAACTAAAAATCAGTGAAGCCCAGTGTGAGCAGTAATCAGGAGGTCAAGAAGGAGCCATAGGAGCGCTGATCAGGGCTGCAGTGGTCGTCCTCCTACAATGACTCCACAGACAGTCAACTACTTTCACTATGGAGCTGTGAACACCAGACAAAGGCAGCTGCTTCAGACTTGGTACAGAGCTTATCAATGGAGACCAGAGTTAGTGTGAAGCTCAGACAGTTTTTAATACCAACCTCTATGGGCGGACTCCAAGAAAACTAAATTAAACTTTGGTAAAGAACATGAACAGAAGCCTGATGAATGTTGAAGAACATTCTCTGGTCAGATGAAGATAAATGTGTTGGGCTCAGATGGAGTCCAGATGTTTGGTGTGAACCTGACCAGGACCACCACAGTGGATGCATCATCCTGACAGTGAAGCACAGAGGTGGCAGCATCATGATATGGGGCTGCATGAGGACAAAATGTGCCATTTATAGATGAATGTCTGAGGATAAACCAAAATACTGGCTGACCAGATAACTCCCAGTCTGCAGAAGATAGAAGAAGAGGAATATTCCAGCAGGAGAACCATCCAGAGAAGAAAATCACACAAGAGTTTCTGCACAAGTGGAAACTGTGAAGCATAACACTTTCTTGGTGTAAGACAAGGTTTGTTACCAACCTAACTGGTGTTTTAGGTGTTCGGTATGTGACCCACCTGATCTCTGCAGAGTTTAATCTTTCCAACCCCTGGGACTAGTAGAGGTACATGGGTTCTGTCTACTGACTGGAACCAGGAAGCAGAAATACAATAAAAACTGCATTCACTTCACAAAATAGTGATGAACGGACCAGCCCTGCCAGGATTTTGGACATTTTTGGTATCTACACAATGAATACGTGTCCCCGTTGGTTCATTTAGTCACAACAAAACTTTTGAGTAGTAGGCAGCCTATTCTTGTTAGATGTGATAAAGTTATGTAAGAATCATAGAGACGAACACCTTCAGCTCTGAGCGATCTCAGTCTGCTGATAAGGATCACGAGTTACGCTCTGAAGTTCCAGATCAAGAAAGTCTGGACTGTTTCGTCGACTACTCGTTCCGTTGGTTGAGAGATTAACCAGAAGGAACCAAAAAGATATCACACCTATAAACCGTCCAATCATATTGCTGACTAGGAATATATTTAATTTACTCTGATCAGGTAATAAAACCAATTTGGTGATGAACAAAACCTCTGATAAAAATGTTCTTTTATTGACGTACTGAAGAGCTGGAACTTTACACTTTTATTGCACTGAAGTTTCTTTTTTTTTTTAACTAAAACACTGACTGGAACCAGGTATTCAAACCAGTTTAGTTAAATCTTTTTTTGACGTATAACATTTAAGGTGTTCGTTCTTTTCAGTCTTTCCCTAATAGTGGTCATTCTACACGTTGTATTGTACAGTAGCTCAAAGTTTGAGCTTCTATAATGGTGGAACAACCTCATTTACAGAGCTAAGAAGCTGTACGTTGGACCTGTGACGAACACTGGAGGTGCAGCGACTTGTTTGTCAAGGTACCTCAGATCAACTGAACCTCTGTTTTTTCAAGAAAGTGTCCCAAAAAATTCTGGTAGAAATCCAGCAGTGTCACTTAGCTGAGAGGTAGCAGACAGCTGACTCAGGGAGACTCACCGCACCAACCCTGCATAAACTTTACTCTGGTGCTGACACTCCGAAACTGTACTTAGCTTCTGAACTCCTTTAATACTTCTAAATATTAGCA